AGCCTTAGGCCCTAAACCCTATAAGCCCTAAGCCCTAAACCGTAAATGCCCTAAGCCCCAAACCCTAAACCCCGGACTCTAAACCCTAAACCCTAAACCCTAAACCCTAAACCCTAAACCCTAAACCCTAAACCCTAAACCCTAAACCCTAAACCCTAAACCCTAAACCCTTTTCCTTACAATCCCAGCAGGTGGGGCCTGCTGCGGCGCTGCACAAGGACCCAAGCCTTTGTTTCGGGGTTTTAGGGTTTTAGGGTTTAGGGTCTAGGGGTTCGGGTTTAGGGGTTTAGGGGTTTAGGGGTTTAGGGTTTAGGGGTTTAGGGGTTTAGGGTTTAGGGTTTAGGGGTTTAGGGTTATGGGTTTAGAGTTTAGGGTTTTGAGCTGTGGTTTTCAGGATTTCCGGGATGTTGCGGTGTAGGGCTTGGGGGGGGGGGGGTTAGGGTTTAGGACCAGCTTAGGTCGTTAGGATGGCACTCGGCGGTTTAATTGGGGTTTGGGGGTAGGGGGATTTGTAGTGCTTCCGGTATCATGTGGGGTAGGCTTGGGGAATCCTTGGTTGTAGATCAGTAGTAAGGTCCAGCTCAGAACCCGGATAACAACCTAGCCAGGGGTCTCTTGATCAAGCTGCTTGAAGATAGGAGAACTCGACGAGCAAGCAGATGGCGGCGGTAGATGCAGCTGTAGCTGCATCGAAAGCAGCTGCAGCAGGAGGAGCAGCAGCAGGAGCAGGAGTAATAAGAACGAGCCACAGTAACAGGAATGACCAGCAGCAATAAATACCAGCAGTCATCATCATATCAGATATCAGCAGCTTTATTTGGTAGATTGTAAGTTTCCGGCACGATAGCAGCTCCAGCCACTTTTCTAAGTTATCACCATACATCACCAGGATTAAAGTTTCGTCGCACTTGGCTAGACCATCTTGCGGAGGACGCGGAGTACTTGGAAGTGCATTTTACGTGGCCTGGCTAGCGGAGGAATTAATCCACGGGAATAAAATTATACTACTATATTGTTCCGGACGGA